GTTCCCCAAATAAAATGTTAACTTGTGTTTAAGTGATAAGAGGTGGTTTTCAATGTAGGAAAAACTGACTCAAACCATCTTCTGGTATACCAGATGTCAGGACTCTATTAACAGCACCCTGCCTTTGGTTAGAAAAGGACACCAGTGAGGGGCATAAACTGGATAATGGTTTAACTGTGACCTTGAAGGAATAGTTGCCATTTAAGCTTATTTTTTAAAAACATATCCTGTTTCTGGAAAGATAAATAAGTGGCCTGTGAAGGTGCCTAATTAGGAGTCCAGGGTGCATTTTCTTCTCTGAATGGAATTTCTGATGCTCATTATCAATTCCTTCTGCTATAATTTGGTCCTGTTGGGCTTGTGAATGTAGAACTTTGTTTTAAAACAGGAAAAATAATGATTCTGAAAAATTGTTCTTGTCAAATATTAAAGGAGACTTTCCATTAATATCATTTCTATTAGTATTTCGAAGTCAAATTACCTGCTGACAGTTTTGCTTCAGTGAAGCTTACATTAAAAGGAAGAAACTGAGGGTATTAGAAGAAAAATAATGAAGTATCTCCAAGCACCATCCCCAGCTCCCTCTCCCCTTACTCTTCACAAGACCCTTGCTTCCTTCCTTGTCTTTTGCTTGACTCATTAGTGGTAAGAGCTCAGATTAGAGTCCTGGTTATACTCAGAATTGAAGTGCATTTCCTAACACCCAGCATCTTCTCTGTAGTCAAGGGCCCTGATATTCCAAGAAAACTGCAGTGTGCAGGTGTGAACTTCCTGCTCCCACCTGTGGCATATCCTGCAGGCGGTTTTGGGATGAGGTCCAGTCCTATACCTGCTCTGTTTGGGTCCCCTCTGTGTCTGTCTGGGTCAGTATTCACTTTCTGTACCTTCATCCTCTCCCTTCCTCCCAACACCTTCCCTTTAGAAATGACCCAGATCCCTAAGCACTCAAGTTCCCCAAACCCCACAGCATAAATGACCCAGGCCTGTCTTGGCCTTGATTGTTTCCCTTTCGAGATGAGGCTCGGTGTCTCCCCTTCTCATCTCAGCCATCTTCCCAAAGAGCCGACTGCGTGTGTCCTCTCCAGCCCATTCATTCTTCCCAGTGCAGACTGCCTTCTGCCCACATCACTCGGTGAATGCCACTCCTGCAAAGCCCAGGGACGATCTTGTAATCCTGTCACTTATGTCTGCTGCTTCCTTCTCTTTGCCTTCCTGCTTCAGTGTTTCTTCAGCACCTTCTGGGAATTTTTTGTTTCCTATTGTATCTCTTTCCTCATCCTTTAATCTCCTTTAATATTGGTGTTTCCTGGGGTTTTGTCTTTATAGTGTTGTCTTCCTTACTGCAGATAGTCTCATCTGCTCTCATGGTCTTAATTGTATTGCTTGTAGGCCAAGAATTTCTAAAACTCTATCTCCCATCTTTGTCCCTGAACTTGATTAATGCTTCTTGGACCGGGGCAGGCTTAGGGAGAAGGGCTTTATACTCTGTCTCCTTCAATCTTTTGCAATAGTCTTGAGGGATGAGCAGTTCCATGGTTCCTGCATTTTCTACCTGAGGAAACTATGGCTTAGAAGGTTCAGAATAGGTCTAAGGTCTCATGTCTAATATGCTTGCTGGACAGAGCAACTTGGGCATCCTTCAGGTGTCTTGAAGTCAACACTGCCCACAACTAAATACGCCGTCTTTATCCCTGCCTGCTCCTCCATGCATTTTCCCTGAGAACCCATCTCACCATCGTTTGGGCACCTGGGCTTCATTGTGCAGTTTTCTCTCTCTTCGCTTCATTCCCATTTTCATCAACTGCCAAGTCCTTCTGAATTGGCTTGCTGTATATTCTTGAGTCAGTTTCTTTTTTCCATCAGCACCACACTTGTTCAGGCCCTTATCACACAGATAAATTGTTTCAGTAGCCTTGGAATTGGTCACCACGAATCTGTTCCCTCAAATCTGTCCTCCTCAGAGCTGCCCGGATGAGCTGTCTGGAACCCAACCTTAACCTCTCTCCTGCTGGCAGTCTTTTAAAGGCTTCCCATTGCCTATAAAGTTCAGGCCCCTTGGGAAGATTCCCACGAATCTGGCCCTTATCCCTCCCCTACTCTTTCTCCCATCTCTCCTTGTCTCCTAGTTCATGTTCTAGGTACAGATGAGCTAATTAGGTTTTCTTGCTTCTATTCATGACTAATTGCCTTTGTTTTTAGTACATATTGGGGGAGGAGAGCAGGTATTCCTTTGTAGTTTGGATAGAAGACTTGTTACATAACACTGGAGGAGACAGGGGTGAAGGAGGTCACGTAGCAAAAATATGTCACTTTCTATGTAACCACACACCCACAAACAGGCCAGGGCATGAAGATAAACATACCAACACACATGGCATTCCCAGGACACCTGCTTCAGCCAGAGGTGCCAGGGGTGCACAGTTCAAGGAGTTCATCTTGTAGTGAGGCAGACGGCACAAGCCCATTGTTTCATCATCGGGGAGCTGAGGAATAGAAATGCATGCAGGACGTAGGGGATTATAAACCTGCTTCAGGGAGGACGCCGTGGAGGAGGATACACCCAAGTTCAGTCTTCATATGAAAGGCAGTATTCATCAGGCTTATTATGGCAGCACAACCTCCTGTCCCGTATCTCCCTTGGGGATTTGTATTTTTTCCCTAGAATTTTACCCATGTGGGTCATTTTATACAGGGCTAACACTTCAGTGCCTTTTAAAAGCAAACTGTATATATATATATATATATATATATATATATATGCGAAATAGATAACATAGATCTCCTGTGTAGCCCAGGGAACTATATTCAATATTTTGTAATAACCTATATGGGGAAAAGATCTGAAAAAGATTATACAGATAAAAATCCATGCCATGCTCAGTAGATAGGTTGTGTCTGACTCTTTTGCAGCGCTATGGACTGTAGCCTGCTAGGCTCCTCTGCCCATGGGATTTCTCAGGTGAGAATACTGGAGTGGGTTGCCATGCCCTCCTCCAAGGGAATCCTCCCAACCCAGGGATTGAACTTGCATCTCCTGCATTGGCAGGTGGGTTCTTTACCACTGAGCCCCCAGGGAGGCCCCATAGGTAACAGTCATTTTGCCATGTGCCTGAAACCAGCACAACACTGTCAATCAACTATACTTCAATAAAAAATTTAAAAATTGAAAAAATTTTAAAGGCTAAATTCATTTAAAAAATTTAAAAAATTAATAAAGGCAAACCGTGTCTGGTTCAGACCATTGGCAGGAACTTGCTTCATGAGGGCAAGGGACTATCCTAACCCTGCTGATTCCCAGTGGCTAGTTTTGGTGGGTGCTGAATTAATAGTTGAATTGGGCATCTTGAGGGGAGGGATTAAAAAAGGGTTCTCCTCCTTATCCCAGAGGTGGTACAAGTCAGTGTAACGGTTGAGGCTTATGTGGGGTGTGCCGATGGCATCCTGAGCAGAGTGGCCTGCCTGTGCCATGTAACCGGACTGGCTCCTGGGAGGGGCAACATGCAGGCTAGATGTCCAGTTCTTTTCTGGACAGGAGTGCCAGTCTCATTTGCAGCCAAAGGGAGTGCCCTTTTAAAGGCTAAATTAGTAATTAGACTCAAGCAGAGGGTGGTGGAGGTGGAGCTAGCTCATTTATTAGCATATAACATGATCCCTCGAACTCCTGTAAATATAGATGTTGGTGCTTTGCCTTCTCCTAACTGCAGAAAAGCCTGGGAGATATGCCCTGGATTATGAGTTACTCCAAGGGCGGCTGCTCGAAAATCTCAAAATACCAGACCATGTCATAGCTATGGGCTTTGTCCTCCAGTTAATTACAGATTTTTATCTCCATGTATGTGAAGTTAATGATTATCTTGGTTTGGGCTCGGAACTATCTGCGCTCGACCCCTGGTTCCACTGGGCTCGATCACTGCCTGCTCTTTGGCGTGCAGCCTTTGTTTTTTCCACCAGAAGAGTCGCACCGTAAGTGTTTCCACAGGAACTCTGCCCTTCGCCCGTGTCATTGTTGTGGCTGTATGGCAGAACCCACAGGGCGGAGGTGTTTTAGCCCTCACTGAAAATGCCACAGATCTTTCCATCTCTCACTGCAAATTTTCCAGTGTGTTCTGGTCCACCGTGGAGTCTTAAAACCAGGTTTACTGATTACCACGTAAGAACTGATTATTAGGTGTAAATGATCCGTTGAAGATCAGCATCCAGAAAGGCCATTCAGTCTATGTCTCTAGCAGCTAACATTAGACAACACCCTGTGCAAGTTGCTGGTAAGGTCCAAGAACTGTGTAGCATCTCTGTTAAGACAGCCAAAGACATTACCGTTAAGTAAGCCAAGTTAAGACTTATCTCTGGCAAATGCAGTTTTGACCCTTTCAGTGTCTCGTGGATCAGCAGATAATTGTTCTAATTGAATCACTTGCTTTCCTTTTTTTCTGAGTGCTTCCGGGGGGCTGGGAATAGTTGGCTATTAACTGAACTTCACGTTATGCCTGATTGGTATTTATGGCAGACCAGTTACTGCTGTAATCAAGTAGTTATTTAGATTAATAAGTCAAGGAATGGCTGGGAGGCTAGTGTACTGCCTGGAGAAAAGGTCACTGTAACTCTTGTTAGGAAATTAATGAATCTCAAACGACTATGACTCAAGTGGGAGATCTTCCAGAAGAGTGGCTCTTTAGAGAAATAGTGACCAGCTCATTGAAAAATAAGACACTAGGTTAGATAGAGAAGACTCATCTGTTCAGACTGGTTGATTTCTCTTATAAAACTACAAAAGAACTAGGCTGTATAAGGAAAAGGTCTTAACTTTTCATTCATTCTGGAGCTATGATAGAACCAGGAATAGAAAATACAAAGGCACAGTGACAGATTTCTTTAGACGTTTGTCTTAAACCTAAAACGTTTATCTAATGTGCAATAGTAAGACCTGGCCTTTTTTTTTTTTTTTGTAACCAAGTGATATTTTGAGTAATACTTATTGTGTAACAACACATGACACACGGTGAAAGGGTAAACATTAGTTTTATTGAGTCTGAAGATGTTTAAAAAGTGTCATTTATAGCTTATTAGGCTGAGATGAGTAGAATTATATATGGCACAAGGCAATTGGTCTGGATTATTTAGAATAGGTTTTTTCCAGGTTCTATCTTCTGTGGAAAGCACAGCCTTACCTCTTGGCTTTCTCTCAGTTCCAGGATTCTGACAGTTTTAAGTGTGAGCCTTCTACCCCCAGAATCACATCCCCTTTGTGCTACCCCAGGCCTATATTTTGTTAATAGTGACTCTTTCGGATGGTGACTTCTTGCCTTTAGTAATCTTCCCTCGTCGTCCTGAAATGATGCCCATTTACCTCTGAAATACCGTGAAGGTTCTCATTTGAAGGACACGACTTCTTATGGGCTTGAGAAAGAGGTGCAGCCTTGGTTTAGGCTGTTGATGGAACCTGCAGATCTCTGAAAGTTCCCCCAGCTCTGAGAATTCTGACGTCATCCACGTCTGCTGCACGGCTTGCAGCTTAATGACACTGGAGGTGGAAGAAGAAAAGGAAATAAATGAGAGACATAACTCCACTGGGCCAGTGGGAAGTGGGTCAGGAGTCAAGTGAGACAGTGCCTGGCATTTCTCAGCCATCGCACAAGTGTCTTGTGATGCACACAGAGGCAGACTGATGGGTCTGTTGTGTGCCAGGGGTTCCCAGGAAACTAAGCTGCCATGTGGCAGATGTAGCACCCTGCAAGCTGGGATGAGTGACCGATTTCATCCTTTCTTTAAAAAATTTATTTATTTTTGGCTGTGCTGGGTCTTTGTTACTGTGTGCAGGCATTCTCTAGTTGCAGCAAATGGGACCTACTCACTAGCTGTGGTTCATGGGTTTCTCATTGCAGTGGTTTCTCTTGTGCAGCACAGGCTCTCAGCCCACGGGATCCAGTTGTTGCAGTTCGCAGGCTCAGTAGCTGTGGCTTGCCGGCCCTAGAGTGTACAGGCTTCAGTAGTTGTGGCCCATGGGCTTAGTTGTTCTGCAGCATGTGCTGTTCTGTAACATCTTCCTGGACCAGAGATTGGATCTGTGTCCCCTGCACCACCAGGCAGATTCCTATCCACTGTACCCCCAAGGAAGTCCCAATTTCATCCTTCCCCCCCTCCCTTTTTTTGGTGATTTGTTGAATGAAGCATGGGCATCCCACATAGTGCTAGTGGTAAAAAAACCCACCTGCTGATGTAGGAGATGTAAGAGACATGAGTTTGATCCCTGGGTTGGGAAGATCTCCTGGAAGAGGGCATGACAACCCAATGCAGTATTCTTGCCTGGAGAATCTCATGGACAGAGGAGCTGGGAGGAGGCGCCTACAGTCCGTGAGGTCACAAAGAGTTGGGCATGACTGAAGCGGCTTAGCACGCAGCACATAAACCAAGTATTTGATGTTTGAAAGTAACTTCCCCATGAGAAGAGCCCATGGAGAGTGTTGGGTGGCTGCTATGTGACCAGACTTGTTCTTTTCAGCTGGCAGAGCCAGCCCTGAGGCAGACAACATCTGTAGGTACAGCTGGAACACCACCAGGGCCTGTAATCCACAGATTTGCTCGTGGATAAGAAAGGTGGGCTGGTCACCTGCTGGTCTGCTCTGATGAGGGTACTGGCCCTGCTGATCTTTTCTTGGGTGTGACTCTAAAATCGCCTCCCATGGCTGGTTATGTGACCTTCTGTTTTCACCAGATCCAGATTGCTAGCTCCTTCAAGCTAGGTGGTTCTTAAAGATCATCTGGGGCTTAGGTTTTCCTTTCTTTTTTCAGGTTCCAGTGACTGCCTCGAGCTTCCAGTGGAATGACTGAGGCCAGGCTCGAGTTGCTTACCAAGGCTTCTACTTCATGTGATAGTTTTTTGGTTTCCACTTTGAGAGAATGACCTTCTCAGACCTGCAAGGGGCTCTTTCTGTTCCCGTCACCACACTGGGCTGCACACTCACCCTCCAGCAGTTCCCTTTTCTAGTATATTTCCTCACAAATCATTTTCCCCTTTCCCCTGCTTTTAGGGCAGCACATCCAAAGATATTCACATACAGATACCCTCCCTTCTCAGAACCTTCTCCTGTGGGCACATTTATGGAGGACAGTCTCTCTCTCGGGTCTTCTGTCACCTGTGGTCCCTTTGAGACTATCATGAGGAGAGTGTTTTCAAGTCTTTTCTAGAGGTCTCCACTTAATATTGAATTATTCCAGATTACGTAGATTTTAGACTTCACATAAAAAGACAGGGGCCTATGTTAGATGTATTAATCTCCCACGGCTTCTAGTTAACATTGACCACTACGTAGGAGTGGCAGGTCATTCATATCCTTTCCCCATCCATAGACCAAAACTTCCAGTATTTGTATCTGGAGACCAGGTTGACAGAGCCTCAAACAGTAATTTGATGGTGGGGCAAATCTGATGGAACTGTGCATGTTGAAGAGGATAAATGATCCTCCACCATGAGTCTCAACTTGTGCTTCCTAAGAGTTCTGCTGCAGGGTCCAGAGGGATCAGAGAAGTGATAAATGGAGTCATGTGAAGGTGGGATCATGCGTAATAAAAGTAGGTACTCAGTAAAGGTTAATAGGTGTCAGGCTGAGTGCTTCACACACATTAACCTATCCAATCCTCATAATGCCTTTGAGATTTATTTTTCTTATTAGCCCTTCCTTCTGAGGCCACTGAGTCTCAAAGAAGTTAAGATACTTGCCTAGTTAAGTGATGGAGCTGGAGTTTGAACCCCTGCAGAGAACCACCAGGTGGCATTACACCTGCTTCTGGTGATTGGTTAGTAGCAAGATGTAAAACTTGGAGATGAACTTCCATGTATTTGCCTTTTAACGGTATATATCTCCTAACTCTGATATTGTGCCAAAGAAATTTTCAAGGGCTTAAGAGTTCATAGGCCCTGGTTACAGAGAACATGTGCCATGTGCTAAGTGTGCTTCTGCAGCAGACAGTGGGTCCTCGCCACGGTGCCTGTCCTAGCAGTGGGGTGAGATCCGATGATCTCCTAGCACACATCTGGTGGGCTTTCCCTGGGACTTACCTCCCCTCAAACCCTGTGCTTGCTGCACTATACACACTATACCTTTCTTCTACCTTTAATTTTATGCTCTCTTAGTAGAACAGTGTCTCTACTAGGTAGAGACCTTGTAATAGAACTTACCAGCACAAGCTGGTGCAGAAAGTATTGGCTGTACCCTACAAATAGTCACTGAAGGTCGTCAGGGGAATTTCCTAGTGCTTAAGGCTATAGCTTTTGCTGATGGCCTTTTTTTTTTTTTTTTAAAACTCTTTTGAGATATTTTAAAATTAACTTACTTTGCAACAGGTTCAGCACTTTCTTGAATCACTTATTATGTGTCTGGGGTTCTGTTAGACATGGATCATAAAGAAATAAAAATATAGGTTCTCTACCTTCAGGGAGCTTACCTCATAGAGGAAACAGACACCCCAATACTTCTAGGGACCACAACTTTATTTTATGTCCAATATGGCCTTAATGCAGAATTCAAAAGAAATTAAACTTCATGAGCAAAGCAAGCATGAGCAAACGTTTCACATCTTTCTGCCTGTATTTTGTGAACCATTCTGTCCCAGACTTCAACCAGACAACCACTATAGGAATGAGTATTTAAACGAGTTCCTTTTCCTAAGCATTAGTTTTTCTCATTCATGTCTTCATTCCATAACTTAGCTAATGAAGTTCTCACAAGTCATTTTTAAGTTTAGAGATGGCTTAGGAATTGTACCATGTATTTACTTGGACCTGCCTGCTGCCCCTTATTTTACAGTCTGTTCACTAATGATTACTGTGTTTGAGTTCCTTTGAGTTTGATAGTGAGAGGTGGGGACTGATCCAGAGAGGAACCAGTGATAGGTATTCCAAAAACTGATGGTATTTGGGTGAAAATCCAGGAGACGCTGCTTATCTAAGGTGGTTTGCGCCAGGTTTGAAGGAAATTTAATTACTTAAAAAATGCAGTTGCTTTTTATTTCACTTGTTTTCCTTGCCTCACTGTTTTCCTTGGAGTCATTGGGATGGGGTGTTGCAGTTTAAGATGATATCCTGTGCTGATGGTAATTTTCTGATGATTTCCAAGACTGTATGGAACGTGTCAGAACAGACCCATCCATCCCCCGCTCCTCTGTCACCTGCGCGCTCTCAGGCCTAGGTGCCCACATCCAGGTGGTTGGCAGGCACCTGGTACCTCTTGCCTGCTGGGCTTAGCAGTGGTATTTTTGGGCCTCGTGTAGTTGGAACATTTGTCGTTTATTCAAAAATCCCCATTTTGTGGAAATTTGTGCTCTCAGTTTAGATTTAATTACCCCTAAGTGGTGGCCATTGTTAATCCAGGGGTCATAGGAGGCAAGACACCTAAGGTATGTCCCTTGAAGAGAGGTTCTCAGTCCATTTTCATTAGAATTTGGTTAATAATATTTCTGTTTTACACACCAGAAGTCTGATGTAGTTGGTAATGAATCTCCTTAGTAATTTATACTGGCAGATCTGAGGTATTAGATATTAAAACATTTTATGCTGTGCATGTTAACTTCACTCTGAAGTGCCCTCAGAGTAAGGAAGGATGCAACCACCGTTGTGCAAAGAGGAAGGGAGGACCCAGGTTCTTCAGGAGTGGGATGAAATGCACTTTACTGAGCCTGGCTGGGGCAGTGGGATGAGGAAGAAAGTTAATAGGTCTGGGAAGAGAGTATCTCACTAGTTTCCCAAAGCTGGTTCATCCAGGTGCCAAGAAAGTTGTCGAAACCCACAAAGGAATTCCCCAGTTCCTTTCCATTCTTCTTTCTGATGCGATCTGAGATCAGTTGGTTTACTGGCCAGCCTCCCAGTTTTGCCTGCACTGCGTTTTATTTTTACGTCCTCCTAAATCGCAGGCTGTACAGTGCGGTGTTTTGGGGAAGGGGTCACAGCCAGAGGAGGGTGCCCTGTGTTAGAATGCTTTGGAGGTCCATGGCCAGAAAGTGGATTTTGAATGAATAAAAGGAAAGGCTGGGTGGATCAACTAGTGAGGCCCTCTGAACTGCATGTGGCCTCTGGAGAGGAAGGAGGTGGGACCAGATTTGCCAGCAAATGGAGGGAAACAAAACTCTGCCTCTGATGTACAGGCGTGATAAGCCACTTTTCTGCTTTGATTGTGTCAAAATGGAGGAAAACTTCTCTAGTTCTTTACGGGGGCCAGTAACAGAGAAAGTGAAAGCCGCTCAGTCGTGTCCGACTCTTTGCGACCCCATGGACTATGCAGTCAGTTCCTGGAGTTCTCCAGGCCAGAACACTGAAGTGGGTAGCCGTTCCCTTTTCCAGGGGATCTTCCCAACTCAGGGACGGAACCAGGTCTCCTGCCATTGCAGGCGGATTCTTTACCAGCTGAGCTACCAGGAAAGCCTGGGCCTTTATTACTGGTGTTCTTAATTTTAGTCAACTCTGCCGAGGTGCTTTGTGCACCAACCTTGGTATGTAACTTCTGCGGCTGAGGTTTTTCCTCTTCTTTCTCCGCTGTCACAGCCACCAAAAGCCAAGTAGCCCTTGGTGAATATCATTTTTCCTGTGAATCCTCCAGGCCTGGTTAGTCCCCCCTCCCCCCATCTTACACTTCCCTAGCAACTGGTACTTCTTCCTTGTAGCACTTTATACACAGTTATTTACAACTGATTAGTTATCCCTCCTAGACTCTAAGCTTCCTGAAGGCAGGGTCCAGGCGCATCCTCTGCTCCCAGCAGCCGCTTGGCACCTGGAAGATAACCAGTTAGGACTGGTTGTCCAGCTGACCAGCAGACTGACAGATTAACACCGAGGCATTCTTTGGAAGTGTTACATGGAATCGTTCTGAGAATTTGATAAAACGCTGCTGGTGTCAGTTTACATACTTACAAGTCTGCCCGTGAGGCAGTTTGCTTAATGCTTCACAGGTTTCACAGGATTTTCCCTGTTTCTTTTCACGTGCATTTCCTACTTTGACCCTCACCGTCATTCCCTGAGGCAGGTGGATCATCACTTCCCTTTCAGTCGAGGGGACTCAGGAGGTCACGCAGCCTGTGACTTACAGGGCGTAGCTGGGGCCTGATGACTGATCTGCTGTCTTATGCTGCTCCTCCCCCAACCCCATGTTTTTGAGCACCTACTGTGTATCAGTCCTTAATATTTGTTACCTATTTACTCTCTTATCAGTTCAGTTGAGATATTATCCCACCAGTTAGGACTGGTTGTCCAGCTGACCAGCA